AAAGAAAGAAAAAAAAAAATATATATATATAAATCACATAGGGGCTAGGATCACATATGTTTTGCACTGTATCTCTAGGACTTTGCAGTGTTTGCCATCTGGTAGCACTCAGTGTTTAACGTGAATAAAGGAATACAAGGGCATGAGAGTTAAAGTGGGAACTAAGTCTTAGCTATGGACAGCACATTATACATTCAATTTGGCAAGTATGCATTGAACACCTACTATGTGACAGGCACTGTGTTAGATCCTCCTCCATGGTGCTAGATCCTTCCTAGAATGGTGAATGAGACAGATAAATCCCTGTCATCAAGGAACGTACTCTCATTCTTACTCCCGTTATTAAGGAAGACAAAACACAAATAGATCATTACAAATTGATAAATAATGTACAAGGAATAAACAGGGTAAAGTGACAGATAATATTTTAGTGATGGGGGAACAGGAATGAAGAGGGGTCAGAGCTACTAATCTGATTGCACTTTCCCTCAGACCACCCCTGTATGCTGAGAGTGAAATTCAAACTTAAAAAAAAAAAAAAAGTAGTATTAGTTAAATGTTAAAAAGTCATATGAAGAAAGCAAATACAGAACTGCATTTAATATTTACATAATCATCATGCAGGCACAATGATATTACATGTGGATAGCTATAGTTAAAACATCTTGGGGTTTTATTTCTAAAGTTAAGTTTTATGGGCGTATTCTGTTTAAAGTTCTTTTCATCCTCAAAATTTATATGCAATAAAGTATGTAAGTTGTTTTAATGTTAGCTTAGTTCTTTTTGTTCTGTATGTTGTAAAATTCAAGTTTGTTGACTTTTGAAATAGTTGCATTTTACTTAGCAAAGAAAATAAAAATGTCCATTTCCCCCTAGAAAAAGGATAATACTTTCTAATTTTGCAAATACTTTATGAAAGTATCATTTGACTCTGTATTTTTACAGCTGCTTAGAATTTATTATTGGAGAGGCCCTTCATACAGTATGTTCCTTTTCTTTTATTTCTAGTCAAAGGGTGTTGTTAATATTATTTTGGAATTATTCAAATTTAAGAGAGTGATAAAGGGCCTCTCTTCAGGGGTTCTTATTAACCAAACCCCTAACTTCTCACTCCTTTAAGGAAAAATACAAGGTTTTTGAGAGAAAAGGAAAGAAAGGAAAAAAGGGTTTTAGACTATGAGCTTCTTGATTTGGGAATCAAAACTACTCAGTGTGTTATCTTCAAGGCCTTGCATCTTGTCTGGCATCTCGCAGGTGCTCAGGAAATGGTTGCTGAGCTGAACTGGTTTGGGAAGAGTCAGGGGAATACTATCCCCTCACAGAAATGGGGAAATCAAGGCTCAAAGTTCGTTTGTATTGTGCTTTGCACTTTACCAAGGCCTCTCACCCCAGTTAACTAATTTAAAAGTCAGTCCTCCACGGGGAGGGGGAAGGGTAAGCTGGGACGAAGTGAGAGAGTGGCATGGACATATATACACTACCAAATGTAAAATAGACAGCTAGTGAGAAGCAGCCGCATAGCACAGGGAGATCAGCTCTGTGCTTTGTGACCACCTAGAGGGGTGGGATAGGGAGGATAGGAGGGAGATGCAAGAGGGAGGAGATATGGGGATATATGTATATGTATAGCTGATGCACTTTGTTATAAAGCAGAAACTAACACACCATTGTAAAGCAATTATACTCCAATAAAGATGTTAAAAAAAATAAAATAAAAAAGTAAAAGTTGGTCCTCGCCACCATTATATATAAAGTAGGAAAGGTCAATACTTTCAAATAAAAAGATGACAGTAATTACGTGTTTGACGTACAGTGAATTGGTCACTGCTAGACTCCCCTATATACAGAGTCAGCCTCTGCTGTCAAGGGACAACTAAAACCCAATGATGAAAAAATTCAGGTCTTTAGATAGTGATGGAAAAAGGATTACTCTAAGGACAAAAACAATCAGAAAAGTTATTGGCAGTCTTTCGACTAAAAAATTGTTCTATAATATAGAGAAGAAAAGCTCTTATACACTATTGCTGGTAGTGTAAATTGGTCCTATTTTTATGGAGGAGAATTTGTGAATTTATACCAAAATTAAAATGAACATAACTTTGATGTAGTAATTTACTTTTATGAATGTATCCTCACTATAGGCATACTGGCATAAGAGTACATAGATGTATGAGGAAAAGGATTTAATGAATATGAGAATGTTCACTGTGGCATTGTTAGTAACAGAAGACAATTTATTTTTACTTTTTTTATTTTTATTTATTTATTTTATTTTATTTTATTTTTTGCGGTACACGGACCTCTCACTGTTGTGGCCTCTCCCGATGCGGAGCACAGGCTCCAGACGCGCAGGCTCAGCGACCATGGCTCACGGGCCCAGCCACTCTGCGGCATGTGGGATCTTCCCGGATCGGGGCACGAACCCGTGCCCCCTGCATCGGCAGGCGGACTCTCAACAACTGCGCCACTAGGGAAGCCTGACAATTTAAATTAGTCTAAGTGCTCATCAATAGATTGTTGGCTACAGAAATTAGGTGTTATCTGGGTAGTGATATTTTATGGAGACATTTGAGGTATAACATTAATCTATGTATCACCATGAAAAAAATGACCATAATATATTAAGTCAAAAGAAAGATACTTAACAGTATGATTTCCTTTGAGTAAAAATTCTCATGAAAGTATTAGTGATAGCTACCTTGGGAAAGTGAGATAGGCTATCTTTTGACTTTATTCAATTCCATACTACTTGATTCTTTTTTTAATGGAAATAGATTATTTTTAAAATAAAAAAATTTAAGAGAAGCTATTCAATTCTGACTACCTGAGAAGCTTTTAACTTCTTAGCCAACAGTAAGTAGCCGCCAGGAAATGATTGGCTTTTGCCCTACTTCACCATAGTGCCTAGTACTGTGCTTGGCTCACTGTTGGTGCTCAGTCAATATTCTGAGATTAAATACGTAAGGAAGGCTAAGCCAGGTCACTCTTTAGTAAAGTGAGATGGAAGCATGTAAGAACATTGAGATTTTTAGATCCTACAATCTGAGTCAGTGGGTCAACAGAGAAGAGTTTACAATGACCACAACAATAGAGTTGACTTAAAGAAAGATGGGCTATATAAATGTCAACTCACTCTGAAATAATTGGGGGATTCTACTTGCATTGAATAAGGATTCTTAATGACTCCCCACCATATGTTTCTTTGAGCATCTCTTGCGGCATTCATCTGTGGGTTCAGAGGTCACAGAAGCATAAAGATGAAGAAATCTCAGTCAGTGCTCAAATGGTCCAGCCAGTTCAGACCCTGAACTCCTCAGCAACAGTCTTGCAGTAAGGAGTTCAGCCTGACAGAACACTCCTGGGACATGGTTTCCACTTACTCCTGGGGAATTCTTTCCTGATGTGTTCTGACTACGAGGAAGTTCCTTAGCACACCGAACTTGAATCTGCCTCTTTGTAAAACTGACCCCCGGACCCCAGCTCTGCCGCCAGTGTCACACACAATGGCTCTAACTGGCTCTGCAGTGGTTTAAGAGAATGGGCCCCGCAAGACTTGCTTTGAGCCCCAGTTTCCACACGTAGGTGATAAATCACCCTGAGGCAAAGGTCAGCAACTCTCTCTAATCCTAAACTTGTTTACAAAATGAAGATGATCATAGTTTCTACCTCATGGGGTTGTTTTAAGAAGATAATGAAATAATACATGCAAATTATCTGTCACGAATGTATGGCACAAAATGCCCAATAAATAATTTCATTACGATTTTTGTAGGCCTTTTCCATTAGGTATTCGATTAGGAAGCAGGAAGGAAAGTGGCACCAAATGGTAAAGTTAACCTATGAGGCGTCCGCCAGTGAACTGCTTCCTGAGGATCTTGATGCCAAGTGACTTGAGCATCTTCTGTGTCTTCCTCACTAGAAACAAATTAGAAAAACACTCCCAGGAAGGGGAGGGACACTTCATACCATTAATTTGGCAACCACAAATAGTCTGTACTTTCACAATTATAGATACTAATTTATAAAAGTAACTTGGGGTGTTTGAGAATCTCACTCACCTCTGGGGGACACAAGGAAAGAGCTCCTTCAGGGCCTTCTCTCAAAACTTGTCTCCCTGCAGCTTCCGAATACTCAAAGAGCTGTCAGAGGAAACACAAGTTTCTCCAGCCATTCTGAAACTTTTCTCAGGGCTAATGACTACCTATCAGCCTGGATTTGACTTATGTTATCATTCAAGACATAAATTATAAATCGTACATATATTCAGGAATGTGTGCATGGGCATAATGTACACATATATTTACAACATAGATCTATACAATATACCATATGAAATGCAGTAGACTAGGAGACTCAAGATCTAGGTCTAAGTTTGACCTCACTGTGTGAGCTCTCAGGATCTCAGTTTACTCATCTATATAAATGGTTACAATGGATGATTCTGACACTATATTCTAAGGAGTTTTAGGTTTGCATAACAGTGCTGGGGGCTGTTTTAATTGGGCTTCAGGCCTCCATCTTGTTTGAAGCAGGACAGCAATATTTTAAAAAAAAATCTGTTACAAATATTGAGATTCTGTTTAAGAATTCACTTGAAAAATGAGTCTTTTTCGCCAAAAGATGTTTGAAAATCACTGAGTCAAGTGATCCTCAAGGCTCCGAGTTCCTTTTTCTTACTTGTATTTCAGAGGTGGGGAGGGCGGGAGAGAGAGAAAGAGAGAAGGGAGTGAGGAGAGGAAGAGGGAAAGGAAGAAGAAGAGCAGTGGTGGTGGTGGGGAGAAGAGGAGGCCAGACAGACACGGTAACGTCTCTGTGTTATCACGGATGGTTTGGGAACAGTATTCTGATTAATTAATGATTCTTGCTCACTTGCTTCCTCAGTACAGTACATCACCTAACTATATAATGACACTGCGTAAGGATAAGTCCCTTTTTGTTATTCAGTTGGTACTTAATGCCCAGAGCATTTAAAATGACTTCCTCCTCCCTGCCCACCCCCCACCCCAACTTCCCAGCCCCAGGTTTCAATCATTAAACGGAGAGAAAATCTTTAGCACTCCAAGTCAATGGCTCATTCCTTCCAAAAACTGTCTAGTAGCATCCTTACAATAAGATGAAATAAGATCGGAAGCATAATCGGTCTGGAGGCTGATATCAGCAATAATGAGGCCAGTCTGGAATGCACAGCAGAGGAGTTCAAGGATGTCTCTTTTGATACATAGATTCCGGATGCCCCTCTATTCATCAGCTCCCCTCAACACTCCCTCTGGCAAGGACAACCCAGCAGGGCAAATCCCACGAGGGAGTCGGTCCCTTTACTTTAGAAAAATGTGAGCTGCTGAAAGAAGCCCATTGAATCAACGTCACAAAGCCATGCCCCTGCTTGGTGAGTGTTTGGGGGAAGGGTTTATAGGAGAACCATGAGGTTGGGTGGGGGCCATGTTTGAATGAACAAGTGCCCCCTGAGTCTCTGTGGCCCCAGGGGTACACAGCTGTGGAGCTCAGCTGCATCAACAGAGACATGCGACCCTGTGTGTCGGGCTGCGACCTGCCTCTGCAGGGACAGCAGGGTGTGGGGCAAAGGGGCCTGGACACGGAATCGGAAGGTGAGGGTTTGAGCCTCAGCTCCAGGACAAGGTGCTTCATTTCTCTGAACTGCTCTTTTCCTAACTGAAAAATACCCAGTGGAGTTGCCTCACAGGCGTGTTGTATGGTTTACATAAAACAGGGTCTGAAAAGCATTTTGTAAATTAGAAAGCATCATAAAGATGTAAGCTATATATCCAGTGGCCTGTGGAAAACTTGCTTAAATCACTTTCCTAAGGTACGCATATAAGAGGTTAGTGAATTACCAAATAAATGAAGTGTTTCACTATGTTCACATAGTTTTCAATATGTCTTAATTATAAAAACCCCTGTGTCTGATATTCTATAAAGAACTAACTATAAAATTACATATGAAAAATTATATATATTATAAAATCTAATTACATATGATTTCAAAAACAGGACTAGATTATTCCTAAAGAACTACTGTAGTGGCAATTAATTTTGTAAATGTATACAGTTATACCAAAAAGTTTTACAAAAATAGCTTAAATCCAATCTCCATTTCACTTCACTAAATAGTGTGTGGTTTACTCCTATTTTAGATGTCGCGTGTCAGAGTCCTCCACGTCGATCGAGATGCCAGAAGACCATGGACCGCAGCTTCCCACAGAAAACCATCAATTCTTCTGGTCAGGAAGTTCTCTGGAGCAATCCTCTTCGTTCTCCTCTGAGCAGGACAGGGTCAGTGCGCTCATCACGGGATGCATCCAGGATGTAGTCTGTGTTACGTGACTTGGGAAGAAAAAGGGATACAATTACAATCTGAAAGACTGTACTTCTACCCACCGTGCAAGCAGTGATCCCTCAGCGACACTGCTTCCACCCTACTGCAGTCTCCTGAATTAGGAAGCTGTTGGAACTGGATCCAATAGTTTTTAAAAGTCTTAGATACGTTTTTAGGTTCAACAAAACCCATTTTTTTCTTTATTCTTCGGTAAAAACAAAACCAAAAACAAAAGAATGCAGGAGAATGTGTCATCTTTGACTCCTCACTCTTCTTTATCCATCAGCAAGTCCTGTGATTGTCTTTCTGTAACATCTCTGGAATCTTTTCCTTTCTCCTTTTCCAACGCTATGGCCTGGGTCACTGAAACAGCTTGTCTCTTTGCCTCTGTTCTAGTTTTTTAATTCATCCTCCACTCCAGCCAAGAGATCTTCCTAAATGACAGATCATACACTGCTGCTCACCTGCTAAAAATTCAGTGCCAACTAATGCCTTCTGGATCAAATACATATTCCATAGTATGAAATACCTTGTTTCTTACCTGCCTCAACAATACTTTCTTCTCTGCTACAATCTTCCCCCTTCCCGTCTTGTTTATTCAGCTAACTCAAACTAATTCTAAAGAACCAAATCTCCCTCTAGATTCCTCCAATCTGTGCCCATGGCCTTATCTCTTATACCGTATTACAAATGCCTGTTTATTTTTAGACCTTTGTACTGCATACAAAGCTCCTTTAGGGCAGGAGCTGTTTCTTATCTCTGAGTCTATGGTACCTAACATATTCTCAGAACAAGTAACTAGGCGTTTCGGGGAAGAACACAAGCAGAGGTAAGGAAGGACGTACAAATATATGGGGCATGTTCAGGAAGTGGTGAAACATCACTACTTGTGCCCCTACCTGATGCATGGTGTTTTTTAGACCTAGTATCCAACTCCCAGCCTTCAGCTGGATGACTCGCCTAAATCCACCACTATCTGCCCAGCTCCTGGGTCCTGGACAGACAGCTTCTGGAATAGGATGACTTATTCCTTCTCCTTGGATCCTTGTTCTAGCCCTGGCTTACCTCGCTGCCCTATCCATCCTAGATCAGTTTCCCCTGCCCCCATCCTACCCAAACTCAACCTCAGAGAAGCATCATGTCTTAGATCAAGTCCATCTGAGGGCTGGCACTTATGAGCATCAAATAAGATTGTGGATCTCAAAGTATCTCCTACTTCCTAAAATATTACAGAATAACATTTCTGAAGTGTGTTATAAGGGTTTTTAATACATATTATGTGAAGAAGAGAATTCTATGGTCAAATAACTTTGAGATACACTAGTTTAAACATAGTTAAGTAGGTTTTTTTTACTGTAGGATTTCCCAGAGCCCTAAATATACTAATGTGTCTTACGACTCTCCAAGAGTTTATAATATTACTCAAACTAACATGCCCTATTAGCACGCATGGGATGAGTGTGCCTTTGAGCACAATTTGGGATCTGTCACAAAGAGGCACTTACTTTAGTGCCTGTTGATGACAATAACTGAAATGTTGCACTTGGTACCCATGGTCAGTTTCAGGGTTATTACAGGATTTGGTTTGTTTTCAGTCCTATATTCTAAATTCTATCCCTATCCCCCAAAACAAATTGTTCAACTCTTCTGTTTAAATATTGAAAATGCAGCTTTCCGTGGAAGAAGATCACTTATAGTTTCACGATAGAGTAAATGCACTTAAGTTGTTTAAGATGGAGGTAGATGTGGCAAGGCCCAGATATCTTCATAGTTTCAAAACCTCAGAGTGTGGTTAAGTGATACAAAGAATAGTTATTCTCTTGACAGTAATCCATGTTACTATCACCTCTTTAAAATGGTTTAGTGCGATTTCTTATTATGGAGGCTAAACTTACAAAGCATTTGATTCTGCACAGGTTAACTTCATTTCAAGGCTTTTGTAAAGCTGGAAAGCTGCCTAAATTGAAAGTGGTTTTAAAGAATTACCAGTGAGTGTAACACAGAGGGCTAGAATACCACTGCAAGGGGAAATGAGGACACATTGTCCCGTACAACGTACCTGTTTAAAACTGAAAGGAAAAAGCTTGATGGGATATCTTAGTATATTTACTTTACTGTTTATCAGCACATTTATAATATGTTAGTCCAAAGAAGAGACTTTAATTTAGATTATTATAAATCCTTCCTCCCCTACAATGCTCCTTAACTGGGGAGGCTGGAAAGGAAGAAAAACAGGCACAATTAATTACCTGAGGGGTAAGGTCGGGTACACACTTTCTTATGTGACTTAAAAAAAATTCTCACGTTTGAAATATTATAACTGCCCATATATGGACATTCCACTGAATTGATAATATAAAATAAGCAAAAGTAAAATGTTTAAGAAGAAAATGTAGTTATAGACTCTGAACAATGAATATTAGAAAGTTCTGCCAGAAAGTCATCCTTGACAGTAAACTTCATTTGGCACTTTTTAATCAACAAGTCAACATCTGATCTTTCTCCAAATACAAAATAATACCATAAAATATTAAATGATTAATCTTATGTTCATAATACACTTCTCTGTACACAATTGAAAAACACACACCTTAGCGCCAAACATGCAAATACAATAGCCAATCACTAGAAAAAATAAAACACATCCAGAACCAATGCTTCTAAAACACAGGTAATGCATGTAAAGTGCCTGGTGAAGAGTAGATATTCAATAATGATCATGGTTGTTTTTTTGTTTTTTGTTAATAATTAGGGCTTTCTGAATATTGTAAGAAAAACTTGGAATTCTTCCTGTGATGCTGGAACGGGGCCTTTTGTGTGTATACGATTCAATTTTATGTCCTGGTGAGCATGGTGACTAAAGAGCTTTGACATAATCGGTATGATGAGATAATCCCAGATTTACTGGCTTGGAGAACATTCTACTATTAGAAATATTTCCTCTCTGATTTGTGTGCTTGGTAATTCAACTGAGAAGAGAGAGAATAAATCAACCCTGTTGACTCTGTTTAATTAATAAAGACCCCATTGTTCACAAAGTGAGATGCTGCTACTTAGTATGAAAAATTTAGAGGTCTGGAAAATAAATGAGGCTGACTGTGAAACATGAAAATCTTCCATTTGAACATACAGTACCTCTGGGAAATGTTCCTGCAGAGAGTGTATCTGACCTGATTTGGGGAGTAATCAACAGCAGTTCAGATATATTTGAAAATCTAAAAAGCCTAATACTACTCGCCTCTGAATGACTGCCAAATCTGTTGTTGGAAAACAGTAATATTTGAGCTGGGAAGATGGCAGTGTTGTGTGGTTTATTTTATAATATTAGTAATTTGAAGGACATATTTTAGCGCTTATAAAAAAAATAAACCCTAAGAGAACATGCTTTATTTTATTGCCAAAGAAATGTAAGTGAATTATTTAAATTCCATTATAATTACCTTCCTTATGTTTCTTACCTCCTAGCATGCAAAATGCTTTCTTTCTAAATAAAAATTTAGGACAGCCAGTTAAGAGAAAAGTGGTTTAAAGACAAAAAGAACACAAGTTTTGTAGAAATTCATTCTTATAATGGTCTGTGATGAAGAAAGAGGTTCTTTTGTTAATCTTCCATTGTTAATGATACTATTTATATGTTATTGTGAATTTAGCAAGATTGCATATATTATCTATTTAAGATAAAGCTGCAGAACAATAAGCCAAAGTAATTAACTTACAATGTCCTTTTTTTACAGAGAGCAGGGTAATCTTATGTATATAATATTCATATGAACCAGAAAATAAAGACAAATATATATGTTAATCCAAAATGTTTCTGGTATCAGTACTTGGAATCACTGAAAAATTTTACAACTGGCCATAAGCTTCAAGTAGTAATGAAAATAAAAGATTTAATAAAAAATATTCCCAATTGAAAACAAATCAGAAGGGAAGAACAGAAAGTGAACCATGTCAATAAAATTATAAAAAAGTCACCAAACCTTGGTGAGGCAGCATGTAATCTTGTCAGACACTGGTTATGAGAATGACTACAGATTAGTAATAGAAAGTATCCATTCCAAAACATGTTTAAGAGAAAATTGCAAGCAGTTTATTTCCACTGATATATAAAGAGTTCCCTCTTACATAACTTTGGAAATATACTCCTAAAATCAAAATGAGTATTTCCCATTAATGAACTCTGTAAATATCACAGAATACTTTGAGAATTTTGTAATTAGGCATTTGGAAATCCAGTGAGGCTCTGATCAAACATTAGCAGGATCCCATTCAAATCTTTACATTCTTGAAGACAAATTTTATTTCTATTCTATATTTATGGCATTCTCTATAAAAATATATATCAGATATATTTTGCAATTAAATAATCCAATTAATTAAAAAATCTTTAGGTCTAGATATTACATTATGCTACAAGAATCTAAAGCTACAGTAATATATTACTTATGCATAATATTGGAAAAAATTCCACATCACTAGACTTGTAAAAAATGAACACTGAAAAGTCCTGAAAAAATATGAATTATATTTTTTGAAGTAATATACACAGGCTTAGATTGCTGTCAATTATTGTACAGAGGCAAAAACGTACCAAGTCCAAAGGTGATACATTTTTCAAAAAAAGAAAATGTTTCTATGGTCTCAGACTATAGCTTTGGGTAACCTTTAAAAATTGATGCTGTTTTGGATTGTGATAGAATAAAAAAATTCAGAAGACCTCTAAGAACATGTCCTACTGACACTGGTACCTAGACACTGGACTATTAGATAATAATAAACAATTTTATAAAATTCTGTAGTTGGTGTATTTGTACATTCTCATTTACCCCCTTTGGCAGTGTCCACCAAAATTTATGTTCTCCATTCCACACTGTAGAGTTGTTATCAGGAGGCTGCTCCCAGGCAGAGACTACATTTCTCAGCTCCCCGTACGTCCTTATGTGAGCATGTAACTAATTTCCACCAGTGGAAGGGGAGAGAGTTGATGTTTACGTCTTGTGGACCAGGG